CTCGTGGCCTTTCACCTAATTACTATGTCTACAGGTAAAAGCAATATGACTAGTAGCACGGAGTAGTCTTTTATGAAACTTATGTCAGGCCATAATGTTCCATACCACCAAAGCCATATACGTTATGGCGCAACCTAAATCATGCATCTGAGACCAAATATACCATACACTGGTCAATAACCAGCTAGCAGCCCTTCACTAAAACTCTCATGCAACAGTGGATCAGTATTTAAAATTAAAAATTAATTATATTATTGGCCCATAACCAAAGAAAGGAAGGTGAGGCCTATAAAACATGTTGCTTACTCTAACCATTCACCTCCTATCTATTTCTTCCAAGGTGATAGTGGTGCTGGCAAGAAAGGTGCTAAGAAGAAGGGAGGCTCTTTCCAGACGGTGTCTGCTGTGTTCAGGGTATGTGAAGTTACTTTTAAGTGGGCCATGCTTCCATAAAAATGATCTGAGGGCTGGAATACCTCTCCTATGAAGAAAGACTGAGAGAATTGAGGTTGTTCAGCCTGGGGAAGAGAAAGGTCCAAGGACATCTTATTGCAGCCTTTCAATATGTAAAAGGAGGCTTATCAGAAAGATGGCGAAACACTTTTTACTAGAGCCTGCAGTGACAGGACAAGGGGCAACAGTTTTAAACTGAAAGAGAGTAAGTTTAGATTGCACATAAGGAAGAAAGTTTTTTATGATGAGGGTGGTGAGACACTGGTACAGGTTGCCCAGAGAAGTTGCAGATGCCCCCTCATTGGAAGTGTTCAAGGTCAGGTTGGACGGGGCTTGGAGCAACCTCATCTAGTGAAAAATATCTCTGCCTGTATCATGGGTGTTGGCCTTGATAATCTTTAAAGGCCCCATTCCAATCTAAATCATTCTGTGATTCTATAACTCCTTGATATTTGAATAAAAATGCTTTGTAGTTCAAAGCTCAAACCCACATTTTGTTCTATCACAGGAAAATCTAAACAAGTTGATGACTAACCTGAGAAGTACCCATCCTCACTTTGTGCGTTGCCTGATTCCTAATGAGACCAAGACACCTGGTAAGTCTGTCATTATACTATGAAGACACGGGACTGACTGGAATTGGCCTGCTTAGCTTCCACACCAACTTCTTCCAGAACAGCTCCCTTTGCATGTGAAGTTCTTGTGGAGATTGGCCTGTGGGACAGTGCCCAAGTAAACCTTCTTGTATTGTTTTCCATGATTGTAAAATTTTGAGCATTACACAGTCCACAACACTTACCCATCTTTGCTTAAAGTGTGTGCAGAGCTTAAGATGATAAAGATTGATTACAGCTGATGAAATTGTCTGTAGTAGGTAACAGCATTAGCAAATCTCTAACAAATGCCTAGTTTGAAGGACCACTGTGTTATTCAGAACTGTTGGGTTCAGCCCAAGACCACTTACCAATTTCTAAATATTCAGTGTTAGGATCTGAATCACTGAGCTGGAAGACTGTCAAAGAAATCACATATCATTTGTAGAATTCCATGTACAAGGTGCTGGTTGCTGCTAGAACTTGGCAAGTATTTTGATATAAAGTTACTTGTTTTCCTTTATTTAATTAAATATTAAACTTTCACAAACAGTTTAGACTCTGAGAACAGTCAAATTTGTGAGTATTTTAATGTGGCCATTAAATTAAAGTACTTGAGGAGGGACTTGCCTGTGTAGGTTTTAGGAGTTTAATCATTTTGAGGTCTGATACTGATAGAATGATAAGGTAGATACTGGTAGAATGTAACAGGAGTACTAGGAAATAGGAGTTTAGCATCTGTTTAATCTGCTCAGGAAACAAAAGACCAATTTCAGAATGTTCAGAAAGCAACACACATTATGTGTGACATTCACATTTCAGCTATTCATCTAAATTCCTTTTATATTCAGTGGAGAGAAGCTTGCATTTTAAGGTGTGACTCATCTCGCCCCTTTTATATCTTAGGATGAGATGAATCACATCCTAGAAGAAACTGTTTCACTCCACTGACTATAATAGAAGCCCAAATGGAAATGTCCACACTTCATATCCTAAAGTGAAGAGAGAGGAATCCCACTGGGGTCTTGACAGTCAGGAAAGTATAAGGGGGAAATTAAGGAAACCTACTAAAACAGGAAAATATATTTAAATTAATAATTTTGCCAGGTATGGCTGTCATTTTAATGTTGTTAGTTGTTTTGATAGAGGTGACTCAGAAACGTAGTACTGTGTGAGTGAAATTAAGAATGGTGAAGGAAGATAAACTGGACATTTTCTGATTTTTAGCTGGTTGTAGGCTGCTTATGCTCAACTTATTCTAACAATTCCTTTGGGTAAAACTTTATTGATTACACCAAAAAGATAAAGTGAAGTGTATGGACCATTCTGCACTAACCAATGTCTCTAGCAGCTGATGGAAATTTCTTCATGACAAAGTGATTCCAAGAGGGTTTTATTTTGCTACTTGTACTTTGTAATACCCAGGAGTAAGACTTAGTAATACAGTTGATTATTATATCCAACAGATATTTTAGGAGGAGAAAAATATTTCTTCCCATTTTAATCAATTATCCCCTAGGCAGACTGAGAGCTTTAAGTAACCTGCTTATCCAATCTTGTGTTGGAATCTATCTAGCTATCAAATCTAGTCAAGTTTGAGTATAGTCAATACTTGGATGGCAGATTCAAGGTAAAATCTTGCATAACATGAAGACCTGATTGTCTAGGTGGTACTACACTCTACATTGTGCCACCTCTACCCACATCCAATGAGGATGCTGATGCTGTTCAAGATTTTTCAGCTGGTCTCCTAAAGCACTCTCCTGCCAATTTTGAGTAATGTGGTTTTAGCCCTTTTGGCCACTGGCGATTCGCAAACACTGCCAGCCCTAGCATTCTTAGAAAAACCTCAGCTCACTGAAGCAGTTCTCTGCAACTTGTATGAATTGAAAGCATGTTCTGTCTTCACTTCCTGGATCTTTAATCAAGAACCCATTTTATTAAAAAAGGGAGGTCATTCTGGAATGCTAATACATATGGAGACTCTTTGGAAGAACAAGGGAGTCCTGATGGATGTATTTTGTTTAAGGTGAAATGGACCATTACTTGGTGATGCATCAGCTGCGGTGCAATGGGGTTTTAGAAGGCATCCGGATTTGCAGGAAGGGGTTTCCAAGCAGGATCCTTTATGCAGACTTTAAGCAACGGTAGGTCTTCAGGTATTACTATCTGTTAAGATAAGGCCTCAGTAAACCCACAACTCAGGTGACAAGCCTGATAACATCATGGAGGGACACTCTCTGAATCAGACTCGATTAGTGGCTTTTGAGGAAACAAAGTCATTAATACTGTTTAAGTCACTCCAGTCTTTTCCCTCCTTGATCAGACCAGGGATTTCTTGATTCATCAGAATCAGTATCATTATTTCTAAATTGTAGTCAATGCCCAATGATTCAAAGAGATGCAAAATGCTTGTAGTGTAATAAATTAAGTGACATTCTAGACTGCTCTTTGTAAGTCTCCCAGAAGATAGATAGGAAAACAATAGACATCAGCACAGTCTCCTTACAGTGCACTGACTAAACATTCAAAAATCCAAGGCTTTGCCCATGCCCTGTCACTGGCCTGCATCCTGTGCTTTGTTTTCCTGATCTTTAAAATGGAGACAGTTAAACTGGTTCATGTGAGCTCAGTCGCTACAAAGTCAATCAGAACCAGCTGCTGATATATTTAAATGCAACAGTAGCATCTTCCATGGTGAACAGGTGTGAAAAGGACCCAAGATCTCTCTGATCATGCCCTGCAACCTGATGTTCAGTAGGCCATTAGCTGGTCTCAATTATCAAATAATAATTTGATGTGACAGGTGAAGGTCTAGAACCTTGGCCATGGTCTAGAACCAAGAAGTGCTGTAAGTTCAAAGGAAATGTGCAGAAGTTCAGGAGGAGTTACAATGGAAGCCTAAAATAGAGAATAAATTCACTGCAGCATTATCACTGTCTTGATTTTACATATTTTCTTTCAAGGTAGACTTGAGAATAATTGCTTACTGTACAGTCACACAACCTCACTGATGTATCTGAAGAAACTCCTTTAGATGGATTAGATGGTCCTGTCCATGACACAAGATTACCTTAATCTTTGTTACCTTGCAAAATGCTAAGACTGCTGATAGCATTTACAGAATACTACCATGCCATTTTTAGTCCAAACTCAATAATTCAGTGGTACAACTCATAGAGATTGTGAGCTGTGCAAGATCTGTATTCCCTTTGGAATAGTCACCCTGTTTGCAACCAGGCCTTGCAACCTATCTTACCACAGGTACAAGATTCTTAATGCCTCAGCCATTCCAGAAGGCCAATTTATTGACAGCAAAAAGGCTTCGGAAAAGCTTCTTTCCTCCATTGATGTTGACCACAACCAATACAGATTTGGCCACACCAAGGTAAAGTCCTTGTGGAAGAGTGGGTATAATTAATGGCAAAAAATATTGTTCATTGAAAGTATTTATTGCATATGAAATCAGTCTTCATGAAAATTAGAAACAAAGTACACTACTAACAAGGAGTACAGAAAACTTGTCTGGTTCTGGGGTTATGTGGAGGGCTAGTACTTTCAGCCCTGGGAACACCACACTGACAGAATGACCCGGTGTGGCTGCAAGTAGAACTAGTGCTGCCCCTTTCTCCTGCCAGTTGAACTCATTTATATTAGTGCAGGTTAGACGGGTCCAGACAAGTTGGAACAGTCAGACGTTTCAGGGGATTTATGCACACACACAAGTCTGTCTTCCATATCCAAAGCAGTGTTAGGTGGGACACTAATTCTCTGATCAGCACAACCAAGGCAGTACTATCTCTGGACAAAACCCAATTGCCTACACTACTGAACAGACATCATCATGTATGTTTTTCAAGCCACCTCTAAATCATTTGACAGAGCAAATCTTGAGTGTGACATAGAAGGGTAGAGTACAGTGAAGAGACCCAGTAGGATATAGTACTAAGTTGAAAGCTAACTGTTTTAGTAACTACTGATAAGCTAGATCTTCCACAACTGACTCTGGAGTGACATCAAATAACACTGCAATAATGTGATTAGAACATACATAGAGTGAATTGTCATGAATTACAGGAATGCTGAGGATATGAATAATGACACAAAATTCCTCTGGCTGTTAAAAACCTTTACTTTGCAGGCATTTTTCCAAAACTGCCTTGTACTATCCTGCATCAGCTGCCAATGGCTGTGTGTCTGCCTAAGCCTCAAACTATGTGGCCCTCTTTTATGTTCTAGGTGTTCTTCAAGGCAGGCCTCCTGGGACTCCTAGAAGAGATGAGAGATGAGAAGCTTGTGCACCTCATCACTCATACACAAGCTATGTGCAGAGGGTACCTCATGAGAGCTGAATTTAAAAAGATGAATGAAAGAAGGTAAGATAACAAAATATTAACAATCACACTGTGTCAGACCAAGAGTCCAGCAATGCAGTATACTGCCTCAGGCAAAAATCTGTCCTTGGGCAAGACCCTTAGGAAGACTAGGGGAAACAGAGCAAGCACAAAATATTCTTTTCCTTGCTATAGCCTTCCAAATTCTGGCAATAGCTATTTAGGAATTGGACCATGCAGCTGGAGCATGATATTTATTCTTTAACAGTGAATCTTTTCTCCAGGGATACACTTACCATTTTCAACCTTTAAAGAACACTGTGACAGAGATAGACAAACCATTGCATTAAAGGGCAGAGATATTTGGCAGAAAATCAACCCCCTTGCATTCCAGCTTGTCCTCAAATATCAGAGGGACTGGGGTGTCTGGGCTTAGATTCTGAGTGATGCCCAATTCGGCACTATCAGTCCAGTCATGTTCAATATATTGAACTACCACGGCTCCGGATGTGCTAATAGTGAGGCACTACAGTCCAGTCACGTTCAAATGAACTAGCACGACCAGTTGGTCACATTCATTGAGAATTCTCCTGGCTGGATACATTAGTAGTGCAATGCACCTCCAGTCTACTCACATTTAAGTGAACTTACACAGCTACAATTGGTCACGTTCAGTGAGGACTGTCATGACTGGATAAATGAATGGTGTCGTTTATTGAAGCAACATGGTACTGGTAGTACTCTGGTACTTTGGATTGCCAGTGGTGAATAAACTGTCTGCAAAGTGTAGGTACCTAAGAACATGAATTTACAAACACGTTAAGTTAAGAAAAACAACTCTATAGAGATTTTCTAAGTTTCCTGGGAATGGTTTGAGTCTCACCCAATAGGCATCCCTATGGGGGTGAAGAGAGGCTCAGACAGTTGACTGGTCCCAGAAGACAGCAATGGTTCATGATGGTATCTTCCCTAACATTCCCCCTCTCTTAGGCTATTTTTATACTATTTTCTTGCTTTCATGTGGAGCTTGAGTGACTCCAGTCATACATACCTTTATTATAACTGGTTTAAAATTTTCTCACTTTACTTTTAAAGGTAGAGACCAGAGGAAATTCAGAGCGCATGCTTAGTGAGGGGGGCTCACACCCTTGGAGGTGGGTAGCTTTGGGATGGAGGTATAGTTTAGCATTATAATAACATTATAATGAGCAAAGTTCCACCAAGGACATGGTTTTGGCAAAACTATGAGAAATTGCTGGTGCAGGGTAGCAACCATTCGGGTTATCAGTTCCACAGCACCATCAAGTTCCCCTTTGCTCTGCACAGAGCCTGACTGTAGTGTCTCCACTCCACTCTCCAGGCTGTTTCTCTTAGAGTCAGCAACTCTAAGGTTGCAGTCTGTACCTAGGGAACTACCATGGAATGGATTTCTCCTATACCAACTACATTCCGCTCTGAGTTTCCTTCATGCTGTACCTTCACTTGAGATGTAGGTATAAAGAGATTTTTAAGTCACCTCCAGTAATAATTCCACACAAACCTTAGCACTTGTTCACCTGGCTGTTTTGAACATTTTGTCTGATAATTAGATCACATCAGTTTTGTAAGGAATGGTATATAATCACTCTCTGCTCTGCTCTTTAATTTTCTTTCATGTCTCCATCATCTAAGATGAAAAATCCTAGAATGTATAGAGAAGGTACTCCATACTTTTGACCATCCCAGATACCCTTCCCATTTCAGCTCTCTCCTTTTGAGGTGGGATGAATCATGCAAAATTTAGAGTGTAGGAGTGGCAGCACTGGGTGAGCCAAGCAAACTTTCTCAAATATTGTTGACAAGTGAAAGATTTGGGGGGGGTAAGGATCACATAAATGTATAAGATGCTCTGCCAACTAGCTGCTTTTATTTATAATACTCTGCACTACATATTTAGCTCAGGGGCTTTCTGAGCCAGGGATAGTTTTTAAGAATTAAATAACTCTTGCTGGATTTCTCAGCAAGGAACTGTCTAATCTCCCCTTGAACTATGGGCACCAACAACATCCTATTACATTCAATATCATAAAAATACCAGTTCCAGTTCCTGTTCCTGTCCTTATAAGTTCTAATATGGTATTTTCTATTTTGAGTGACCCAAAAAGCATCAAGCTGCTGTTTCCAGAATTGACAGTAACTCCCAGATTTGTAATCTCGGGAGCAATACTTCAAGGATGTCAGTTTTCAACCCGGTCAATTCACCTGAGCACTTGCACTTTCTTTGAAACTGAGGAAAATCTCAGAGATTCCCAGGGAACATGCCAGAGAATTTTGTCTGTTTGGAGTATTTCTCCCTCTTATATCCAGCCATAGTTATTGTTCATGCTATTGAAGAAGCCATTCTGCAATCAAGGGCCTAGAAATGACTCTTTAATAAAAGCAAGGGAGGTGAGAAAAAAAGTCTCATGCAAAAGTTCCTTGAGGAAAATGCTGATGCTGCATGGCCAATATCAAAGTCTGTTTCCAACCCAAGTCTCATCAGGCTCATAAACTGTCTTTTCACGTGTTTCCAGAGAATCCATTTATATCATCCAATACAATGTTCGTGCATTCATGAACGTCAAGCACTGGCCCTGGATGAAGATGTACTTCAAAATGAAGCCCTTGCTGAAGAGTGCAGAATCTGAGAAGGAGATGGCCAACATGAAGGAGGAGTTTGAGAAAACCAAGGAAGAACTTGCAAAGTCTGAGGCAAAAAGGAAAGAGCTTGAGGAGAAAATGGTGACCCTGTTGCAAGAGAAAAATGACTTGCAGCTTCAGGTTCAATCTGTGAGTAAGCTCCATTTTCAGATTTACCCTGCTTCCTCTTACTCTGCTGCTCTTTTCCTTCTCTTTTCCATTGTTCTTCATAAACACAAATGTAACAGGGCCAGATTCTCCACTGCTCCACTGCTTTGTATCTGGTCTTGTTACTTACACCTAAGCAAAATGAATATAAAGCACATATAAAGCATTACCATTAGTATGAACACAGAAAATTCTGACTGGGCTCCCATGTAAACCCACTTCACTATTAAGCAATCATCAGTGGAAGAATAAAATATTCCACAGTATACACAAGGTGCTCCTAACAACGGTATCTAATTCTGGGTGATACACAGGCTGTTACCACATCTGCTGACCGTTATAATATGGACTTAAGGCAAGGATGCTTTTCTGTCTGAGAGAGGGCTGAAACTGTGGAACAAAGACTGATGCTTTTCTCTGGAGTACTGTAGAGCAGAGACTGAAATTGCACAAGACAGGAATATTGCCAGGTATTAAAAAGGGATAAGACATTATGTGGCCAAGGGCAGTCTGGTGCGAGCGGACCTGTCACTTGTTTCCATGTGCTTTTGAACTAGTTGAGTTTTGACAAGATTCCTGTATTGTTTCAAGTATCATTACCTGAATCCTTCTTCAGAACTTCAACTTAACCTCACTCAGTTTCCTGAGTTTCCTTGTAGCCTTCTTGGCACTTAATGCTCTGTTCTCCGGGACCCACCCATGTTTACAAGCTGTTGGGGCTTTACTTTAACCTCTTCATGGATGGTAAGACAAAAAAACCCAAGAAACCCGTGTTTAAGTAGGTTAACTAACTTCCAGGTTAGGATGCCTTTCAAAGCACTCTGATTTCAGATTTTAGAGTATAAAAGAACTCCTGAGGTATGATCATTGCCCCCAAGTGTGTTGTCTGACTCTTTCTGGACTCACAGTTTCTCACTGTTTCAGTACTTGAAGAGTCCTTCCTGTCTTCTTGCTAAGTCTCATTTTCCTGGGCGAATTTCTGTCAACGCTGCTTGAAAGATTCCTGAAGCACCATCTTCTCTAAGTTTGTCCTTAGAAGATGCCCACTCACTAGCTATGATTTTCAGTGCACTATTGGTTTCAGTCAGAATCTGAGAGAGAATTAAATCTTCTGTTACTGCAGTGATAGCTTTCAGCCATAACTCTTCTGTTAGTTATAGTAAAAGTTGCAGGTTAGAACTGAGGTTGAGCCTGACCTTGTCTTGGCTGAGAGAGAGGTTAGAGAATGATGGGACCAAGGTTAGCCTCATGTGAATAAAGTGGGGGAAGATGTCTAGGGAGAGAGAGTCTGACCTATGTCATTAGAGTTGGAGGAGCATATTAAAAAATCATTCAACACTCCATAAAAGATAACTTTGAAATGCTATATGTTTTATGCATCTAAGCTCGTCGTTCCATGAAATCCAGTTTGCTACTCACCTATTTATCTCCCCAATTCCTTGCAGGCTTCTTGTTATGACTAAACCTTGGGAATCTATTGCATGGTATTGTAGTCAAACCATCTGAACAACTGAAAGGAAGTGTCTCTACCATGGCATTATAGCCCACTTTCCCTAAGCCTTGTTTAAGCAGGACAATTCCCTCATGACTGAATCATGTGCACAACTGTGATTTACATAGGAAATTCTGCCCTGACTTGTGCAATCTATTTCCTGGAGGTGGCGCTTAAACAACATCTGTTGCCTTCTGTCATTTTTATTATAATAATGTGCCTTCAACATGTTCTGACAGGAGAGTGAAAATCTAGCTGATGCTGAAGAGAGATGTGAAGGACTCATCAAAAGTAAAATCCAGCTGGAAGCTAAAATTAAAGAACTAAGTGAAAGACTGGAGGATGAAGAGGAGACAAATGCTGAACTGACAGCAAAGAAGAGGAAACTTGAAGATGAGTGCTCTGAGCTGAAGAAAGATATTGATGATCTGGAACTAACTCTGGCCAAAGTGGAAAAAGAGAAGCATGCAACAGAGAATAAGGTAACAGAGGAATTAGGGAATTATTCTTCCCCAGTCAGTTTTCAGTTTTGTAGAAAGTTGCAGTCATTCCTAAGTGCTCTGAATGGAAATGATTACGTGCCCAAGGCAGAGGAGAGAGGTATTGCCACTTAATCACCTGTGACAGAAAATCTTCTGTTAAAATTCTAACTTCCTCTTAGGAAAAATATTTTCTCTGACAGTTCAAAAAGAGTTAAGAGGTTGTTATGGTGCTTGTTAGGGAATTTCCATTTTTGGCTATTTGCAGTCCTAAAGTCTCCTGTGGATAATGGAGGATTAGTATCACTGAGAACAATACTGGATCCTAAGACTGCAATTACAGATGTATCAGACATTTCTATACTAATGCTTATTTGCTGAGAATTTACAGCTAATTGCCTAGCAAATATATCACATACAGGAAATACATTTTTTGAGCAAGAGCAACTCAGAGGCCTTTTGTAAATCCCAGTGGCAAGTAAAGATCTAGCACATGTTCCACTGTAGAGTTCAGTTTTTTCAGCAGGATAGGGCTGGTAGTCAAAAACAGCTTAAAGCAAGAATTCCTACCATTGCAGGACCAGAGACGTGTGACTGTCAGGCATGACACTTGTTGCTATCCTCATTATGAACAATGTAGACCTCCTGTGGAGAGCATTTTGACTACATCCATTCAAGATTTTGCAAGGGTGCACTCACTGTGTTCTCAGTCTGTAATTTTTAAATGCACTCCCTCATAGTATGGATGCTGGCTGTCTAATAGGTTAAGAATCTTACTGAAGAGATGGCAGCTCTGGATGAAAATATTTCTAAACTCACTAAGGAGAAAAAGGCCCTGCAAGAAGCCCACCAGCAGACACTGGATGACTTGCAAGCTGAGGAAGAGAAAGTCAGCACACTCACCAAAGCCAAGACCAAACTGGAGCAGCAAGTAGATGATGTAAGGAAAAGTTTTTAGGTTGGGGTAGGTGGATGCTCTGATGGATTAGAAAAGACTAGAAATCTGTAGTTGGGAGTATGAGCAACACCTAAAGCAGCCAAGCAAGCTCTAATAATTTCAGATAATAAATCATTGCCAGTTGACAGTATATTGTGGAATTCAGAATATCTTTCATCTTTCCCTGCCTATTTAAACTATGTTCATCATTGGGTATTTCAGCATTGTAGACTTTTGTGCATCATTTTAACCAATTCACTGGCACAGTATATCTGTGCCAGTTTGACGTTTGCTGCAGAGTCATTTGTGGTCTCTTACTGTGCAGTGTGGATATATTCCAGGAAATAATGAACACAGGGAATTTGTCAATATTTAGCAGCCTATATGCTGGGAATTGCAGCCACTGGAAAATTTTAATTCCTGTATTTTTCAAAAACTTGCATTTTAACTGTGCACAGCCAGGCTGAGGACAGTTTAATATCTGAAACCAAATCATAATGGCAGCTCTGATCTTGCAGCAAGACTGTAGCACAGGTGGAGATGAGAAGTGTATAGTGGAGCTGATTGTTTTCTCTATTCATCAACTTCCATCTCTAGTTAGATTTTTAAATCAAGAATAGTTACTTTCAAAGTATAATTTATAAGTTTCAAAGTATGTTTTATGTGTTTTAGCTTGAAAGATCTCTGGAACAAGAGAAGAAACTGCGAATGGACCTTGAGAGAGCAAAGCGAAAACTGGAGGGAGACCTGAAAATGTTCCAGGATTCCATTGTGGATCTGGAAAATGATAAGCAACAAATGGATGACAGGCTAAAAAAGTATTGAACTGACTTTTTATGCTCTGGATTCTAAAGTTCAGATTTTATCTTAACCATATTGAATTTGCATTCTTGTTCTTTAATAGAAAGGATTTTGAAATTAGCCAGCTGCAAAGTAAAATTGAAGATGAGCAGGCTCAAAATTCTCAGCTGCAAAAGAAAATTAAGGAGCTTCAGGTAAAGTCTAAGAATTATTGATATTTTTAGTAGCCAAACATAAGTTCCGTAGAATTAACTGATATTTATTCTTAGACTGTTCTACAAAAATATTTTCCTACACATGAATAAAACAATTAACATGGATTCTAGGTGCTGTTCGCATCTCAGGGCACTTTTACAGAAGCTCTGGCCTCTAATTATACATCAGAAATCTCTTAAGTGAGGCTTGTGGCAGGCTTTGAAAATGGATCAGATACTGAGTTATATCAGTAGTGAAGCCACTGAGTATTACTTTTTTAAGAAAATGATAGAATGTGACATAATCTGTCATGATCAGAAGAGAGATCACATTGTAAATGCAGAGCCAGGAAGACAGTTATCTACAGTGCCATTATCTCATGGTTGCACATCTCAAAGTTCCTTCCATCTTGTTTGCTGATGCAGAGAGGACACTGCTTTGTTTTGGCCTGACCTTTGGGAAATTTCTAAGAAATTCATGTTCCCTTACATTTCCCAGTGACACATCTCCTATTTCTTCAGAAAAGTGCAATACTAAATCCTTCATAACATAATAAATCCATTCTGAGCTATAACATAAAGTGAAATATCAGATTTTACATTCACTGTTGTTCCAAAACTGAATATTGCATGTCCTAGGACAAAATTCAGTGAAATTTCTAGTGGTGCTTCACTTTCTATGCTGATATAAATGGATGTGAATGTTTGCTCTTTATTCCTTAATGACAATTTCAAATCTGTTTATTCAGAAGTCCTCATTTAAGAAGTCCTCACAGGGGAGTTGGAACTAGATGATTTTTAAGGTCCCTTCCAACCCACACCATTCTGTGATTCTATGATTCTGTGATTTAACCTTTCACAGGCTCGAATAGAGGAACTGGAGGAGGAAATTGAGGCTGAACGTGCAATCCGTGCAAAGACGGAAAAGCAGCGAGCTGACCTCTCCAGGGAGCTAGAGGAGATCAGCGAGCGCCTGGAAGAAGCAGGAGGGGCTACTGCAGCTCAGATCGATATGAACAAGAAGCGTGAGGCAGAATTTCAGAAGATGCGCCGTGACCTCGAAGAGGCCACGCTGCAGCACGAAGCCACGGCTGCTGCCCTGCGGAAGAAGCATGCGGACAGCACAGCTGAGCTTGGGGAACAGATTGACAACCTGCAACGAGTGAAGCAGAAGCTGGAGAAGGAGAAGAGTGAGCTGAAGATGGAGATTGATGACTTGGCCAGTAACATGGAGTCTGTCTCCAAAGCCAAGGTTGATGCACAGGAAGAAACATTGCTCATCACTACCACTGTTCTTCTGAACAATTAGATGAGCTGAAGGGTACACTTTCTATCTCTTAACAGAGCAATCTGGAAAAGATGTGCCGAGCTCTAGAAGACCAGTTCAGTGAAGTCAGAATCAAAGATAATGAACATATGCGACTAATTAATGATCTGAACATGCAGAAAACACGTCTACAGATTGAGAATGGTGTGTCCCTACATGAAATGTAATTGTCCTGTGCCAAGTACTTAAATATGCAGTCTGCCTGTGCATTTTGTCATATATTCACCACTGTGTGTTCTGAACAAAACTCAGTCTGTAGAATTTCCTCCTGGTGGCAGTCACGGCAACTCCACCCAGGGAAATAAAAAGACAAACCAAAAGAAGCGCTGGCAATCAAAATTAATGTGTAAGTTTGTGGTCAGTACATTCCTTTTCCTTCAATGCCAGCACATTTGTCTTTGATAGCTTTCTCCTACTGGTGGGAATGAAATTGCTACTCCCCCTTCATTTTACCACATGAAATCTTGTAATCTCTTTCCATATGGCTAGCTCTTCTCATTTGGATGTTTTATGTGTCATATCTCTGTCTAAAAAATAAATGTTTTCTCATTAGGTGAACTTATTCGGCAACTGGAGGAGAAAGAGTCTTTGATTTCTCAATTGACTCGAAGCAAACATGCTTTCACTCAGCAGACTGAAGAGCTGAAGAGGCAACTAGAGGAAGAAAATAAGGTGACTTGTTTTAATTTGGACCAAAAAATTGTAAAATAAATCAATGAGCTAAAACAATAAATTAGATTTCTCCTCAGAGAAAGGTGAAGACATCAGAACAATTAAACTATACCTTTAGTATAATACACAGAAGAGACATTAGGAATTAAATAAGGAAGACAGTTTAAGGCCTTCTTATCATGCTTTCTGAAGTTCTAAATCATGAGAGAAGTGAATGGAAATAGCTTTGTGTGCGTACCTTACCACCATGGGAAATCCCTGAGGAAGAGAATACAGCAGCAGCCAAAAAAAAGAGAAAGATCAGGAGTGTGGGCATCCCCTCAGTTAGATATAACAACACAGTTTTAAGTTTCTTCCACCTTCAGATAAACATAAAATTCTACTTGAAAAGCTTATGGGGAAACTTCTTGAGAGATAATTCCCACCTTGAGTGTTGCTGGCTTTCTTGTGTCTTTGCCTGAAGCACTTGGTGTAGATGTGTTTGAGCGGCAGTATCCCAGATAAGATGAACAAGCGTCTGACCTTGTTTAACAACATGAAGTCTGAAATACAAGTCCCTAGTGCTATTCACTTTGTTCCTTCAAAGCAACTCAAGCAACTGTTGCACATGGGCAGTGAGATGTGGAGTTTTTATCGAAACATAGTAAAAAAAATCCAGTCACAAACTGACGAAGTTTTGACAATTTCTGTAATTTTAACTACCAAGGCCAAGAATGCCCTGGCCCACGCCTTGCAGTCTGCTCGCCATGACTGTGACTTGCTCCGGGAACAATATGAGGAGGAGCAGGAAGCGAAGGGGGAGCTGCAGCGTGCCCTGTCCAAGGCCAACAGCGAAGTGGCCCAGTGGAGAACCAAATACGAGACAGACGCTATTCAGCGCACGGAGGAGCTGGAGGAGGCCAAGTACGTGGAGGGGTAGTCTGGAGCAAGTAGCAGGATATTTAAGTATAAATGTGGGAAGGAACTGGAGGAAACCATAATATGCTTCTAGTGGGAATATAAAAAGCAGCATGCATTTTTTTTCCCCAATGTGTTAGGAGTGAAAAGGGGAGTGAGTAGAGATTTAAAGGAGGACAAGAAGTAGAGGCTTGGGAGTGTCTACGGAAAGGAGAATTTTAGTGCATTAACTATGTAGTTAATCACGGTAGTTGAGAAATCACATTCTTTACACTGCCAATATTGGAAGTGTGTTTCTGGTTGGCATAGTCTACCCCTTGGGTAAGTATTCTCCTAGCCTATGCGCCACTCCAGCATGCTGTGTCATCCCAGGCTCCTATTGATGCTCTCTGTTCACACCATCACAGCTTTCTGTGTTACTCTCTCTGCCCATCTCTCCCATGCCAAACTCCCTTCCTGTCCGTTTTCTGAGAATGTCAGATTTTTCCTTCTCTCAGTGCTTATTGTCTCGTCCTGCAGAAAGAAGCTTGCTCAGCGCCTGCAGGACTCAGAGGAGCAGATTGAAGCTGTCAACTCAAAGTGTGCTTCATTGGAGAAGACAAAGCAGAGGCTGCAGGGAGAAGTGGAGGACCTCATGATTGATGTGGAGAGATCGAATGCAGCCTGCGCAGCATTTGATAAAAAGCAGAAGAATTTTGACAAGGTTCATTCAAAGAGGCTGCCAGATCTGAACATTGTTAGACATTTGATAGGGCAGGCCAAATTCTGAAATTATGAAAGTTCTGCACTCATAGCAATATAAATTATGTTTTATCCAAAGCAAAGCTATGGTGAGGAGCATATAGCGGGACGTATAGTAATGATAATGTCACAGTGTGAAGTAACCCCAGATGACCAAAGCAAACAATAAAGTAGTTTTCTGATAGCTTTAAAAAGCAAGAAGTCTTCAGAAGGGATACTGGGAGGATCCAAATCTTTGATCAAGCAGACTGAGCAAATATTCGCACGCAAGCTAACAAGCCCTGACTTTTGCCTGGTGCTAGTCTGCTAGCCTTGTATTTGGGTTAGACAGACCCTCAAACTTATTTCCACAGTTACAGCCTTCACTGCCTTTAATAACATTTAAAAGAACTAACACATTGCCCAAGTGATGTTACACAGCCCTGTGCCTTGGTCTAGCCGTGTGTGAGTGAACTGGGTGCATGTGCTAAAAAAGACGTTCTGTAGGGCTGTGGTGTCAAAATCAAGAGACAATTGGTAGAACATGATCTTTCTAGGTGGACTGAGTGCAAGACTGCTGGCTCCTGCAATAATAAAAAGGCTTGTGCAGCCTCATTCAGACTGACCACATTGTGTCCAGGTTGATGTCAAACCAAACTCCGGCCTGAGAGCTTGGGGTATGCACTAGTGCTGGATGAAGAGGATAATATAAGTAGCTTCCATCAAAACACCCAGAGTATAAGACTGTAAGACAGACCGTGCCTCTTGGGTTCTTGTCCTGTAAACGTGCAGAGATAGGAGTGTTGCAGAATGGGTCATTGTTATGCCCTGATAGCTCCTGTCACTCCAGGTCCTGGCTGAATGGAAGCAGAAGTACCAGGAGAGTCAGGCTGAGCTGGAAGCTGCCCAGAAGGAGTCTCGCTCTCTTAGCACCGAGATCTTCCGGATGAAGAATGCCTACGAAGAAATGCTTGACCAGGCTGAGACGGTCAGACGAGAGAACAAGAACCTCCAGCGTAAGTTCAGATCTGTATCAGCTCCACCATGATCCCCCATCAGCTCCATCAAAATCTACCATGAGTACTAAGATGCTTCCACATTTCTGGGCTACCAGAGCTCTGCCTCTTCCCAGGGTTTTGTTATTCATGATTTTCCCACAAATCTCAGATTAGGCAACTTTCTTTTCTGTTCAGCTGATCACAGTGTCACCTGTAAGTACACGTGTACAGCTCATTACAGCATCCTACTTCCTCATGGTATTCCTCCTCCTTCACACCATCACAATTCCCTTAATGGATAGGCACCAAATTACTTGAATGGACAGAAATGATGATTAAACCAGATACTAATTTTTTTTTTCAGATTACTTCAGTCACTGCCATTAAAAAAAATCTGGAGGGCTGTTGTCTATCTCCTGATTATTAGAGGAACATGCAGCTGTTGCACAACAGATTGGCATTTAATAAGCAAACTAACTGTATAAAAGAAACACAGTTCAGTTCCTTTTTGTGAGATGAATGATCCCTGGGGAGTATCTGAGGATAGAGAGCAGTCAAACAGGACTGTCTCTGGAGACATAATTTCACTATCCAGAGGAAGTTGACATTATTCTCTGAGCTCACTCCACCTGATCCTTCTCATTTTCAAATTTCACACTGAACTCAAAATAGAAGGTAATCAGAAATAAAGACTGCAGACAAGACAAGATCTATTATTTTTCCTCACTGCTGCATTATATTACATTAGCATCTTTTCCATCACTCTCATTGCCAAGGAGTAATTACAGGTGCCACTGACATCACATCACCTTAAGGTGAGTTGAGTGTATGCTTTCTGTGTTGCAGAGGAAATTGCTGATCTTACTGAACAGATTGCAGAATCTGGAAAAGCTAATCATGGTCTGGAGAAAGCAAAGAAGCAAATTGAGCAAGAAAAATGTGACCTTCAAGCAGCATTAGAAGAAGCAGAGGCAAGTGTCATCAATAAAGAGGCTTGGTTTTAGAGAGCTCATGAATGGAGACAAGTTAGAGATTATATATTCCTATTTATCCTGATACTGTCACAAAGGTGCAGTATGAGAACACAAGCAAACCAAATAGCATAGAGACTGCTCCTTGCCTATACCAATGTGGCATTCCTTACTGTGCTATCATGCACAAAGAACTCAGTCACAGACTAAAATTGAGCTCATTTTGCACCACCTGTTTGAATTTGCTCTCGTGAAAGGCTGAGGAAAGGTTATTTGTACTTCAAAACTCTGTCAATTTTTATTTTCTAGTCAAATTAATCAAGGGAGTTTTCAGAGCAGGTCTAATCCATACTTAAAACACTTCTCAATGTCACCTCCTGTTCAAAGAAAGCTGAATGTTGAAGAGATTCAACAGGTTGATTGAATTGAAGAGGTTATATTTCTTCAGTTCCTCCACTTTCAATGAATGGGAGTCAGTAAGACATTCAAAGAGAAGTCAGTTCACAGAACATGGGAGAGGTTACTGGGGTTCTGCTGAATCTTGGATGTGTTACTGGTACACTGACATGCTTTCCTGACACAGCCTGCATACCAGGTCCCACAGTTCCGTGATTTCTGTCTTTCTTACTGTCTTTGGCTATCCCTTAGCTCTTCATAACATTAAATCATTTTTTCCCAATCCATGCCAGATTGCAGCTCCTTGCATTTCCCTTTTGTCTGGGTTCTGCCCTTTGTTCTCTATCTGCCCTGACTGTCTCTTGGAAAAGCATTTCTTACTTCTGTACAACCATACCTAATTCTCCACAAAATGTCTTTGAGAGCATTTCTTGGAGCTGCCCATGGTATACCTAGGGCATAGCTCAAATATAAGGAGACACAGAATTAACTTAGGTTGGAAATATTCTCTGGAGGTCTTCAGTCCAACCTCCTGCTCAAAGAAGGTCTAACTTCAAAGTTACATTAGGTTGCTCAAAGCCCTGTCTACTTGTTCTTTATAATTAGAATTGTAGGATGTTTTGGGTTGGAAGGGACCTTCAAAGGTCATCTAGTCCAACCCCCCTGCAGTAAGCAGGGACATCTTTACTAGAGCAGGTTGCTCAGAGCCCCATCAAGCCTGACCTTTAATATCTTCAGGAATGGGGCCTCCACTACCTCTCTGGGCAGCCTGTTCCAACGATCTACCACCCTCATATTGAAAAACTTTTTCCTAATATCCAACATAAACCTACCCTTTTCTAGTTTAAAACCATTACCCCTTGTCCTATTGCTACACGCCTTTGTGAACAGTTCTTCCCCAGCTTTCTTACAGGCACCTTCAGGTACTGGAAGGCGGCTAGAAGGTCCCCCCGGAGCCTTCTCTTCTCCAGGCTGAACAACTCCAACTCTCTCAGCCTTTCTTCAAAGCTCCAGCCCTTTGATCATTTTTGTGGTCTCCTCTGGACCATTCCAACAGGTACACAAAAACCCAACAGCAACAAAAAAGGCATCACCCCCAGCCCCCCACTCTGTTTTACAGATCAGTATCTTATGAGGTATGGGGGTGTATGTTTGGCAGCACCCTTAGGGTTCCTATTCACTGAACTCACACATAAAAAGGAAAAACGACTACAAGATCCATCTCTGCACCCTCCAATGTAGAAAGGAAACCAATGAACCCCCTTATTCTGCAAAGAGTCACTAACAGCAGAGTCACAGACCCAATGTACCGCACTGCTCTAACAGTACAGCAGTTAGCTAAACAGCGAAGAACACAAACCACACAAAAGAACACTCCCCCACCCAAAAGACTCACAAGCACAACTTCACTGTGTAAAGATTTTGTAACAAATTAAATGCCAAAAGTTCTTGTTTACATATGTAAACACACCTAGAGAGTGGTTAACACTACAAGAATTACAGAACTTGTGGTTTTCATATTGTTCGTGTAGGAACAAAGGGATTTTTTCCCCCAGGTACAGCCTAGGGATTGTGGGATTGTGCTCCTGGATCCCAGCTCACTGGTTACCCTGATAACATCTGTGGAAAATTAGTACATCATATGAAAATCTAAAGCATCTGGAGCCAAGTCCAGAGGGTGCCACTTGAAAACACACAAGCCCTTTGAAATCCCCCCAAAACAGTGATGGGTGCAGTCCCTTTTTTAGCCTCAATGGCCCAGTGAGGAGAAGCAGCCGTCTGCCCTGTGTGCTCACAAATTTCCATCCTTCATGAGGATCCAGCCCTGAGATCAGACCCAGGTGCTTTGCTCCAGGCTGGGGAAAAACAATGTTGTGCCAGGCAGCCAAATCTGCTCGGGATTGAAAAGGAGAAAAAAATTCACCCGACACTTTAGAGTAAGGGATGGTTTCTGGAACGGGAAGGGCAGCTGAGGAAATGTTGCATTTATTATCCTTGTCATGTCTTTTATTAGCAAAATTACATTATGGGCATTGGAACTCCTCATTCCTCCCCTGTCTCCAGGCTCCATAGGAGGAAAATAGGTAGATGGCTTTGCCTTCAGCTGAGTGACACTGTGCTGATGGCACAAGTGGTTTTATTTCCCATCAGGATGCGCGGTCAGAGATAATGACCCGTGGGATCATTATCTCTGCATAAAGATATCTCTGCGTGACCTTTCTGGTGAGCAGGGCTCCATGCCTCCTTCCTTTTCTGTTTTATTTGAGTGTTGCTCTTGAGTCTTCCACTGTCCAATGTCCCCTTACGCCTGGGAAAACCAGCAGTGTTCCCTCTGCTGACCCCGAGATGCTGTGGGGTTTTGGGCAGCTCCAGCATCTGGCCCAGGTGCTGCCATGGGGCTTCACCTGCCAAGAGTCCTCCTTTCTACCCTTTTTAAAAATGGACATAATGTTTCCTTTCCTCCAGTCTCTAGGGACTTCACCTGACTGCCATGTCTTTTCAAATATCACGGAGTGACTTGGCAACTACATCAGCCAATTCCCTCAGGACTCTGGGATGCATCTTATCAGGTCCCATGGACTTGTGTATGTTCAGGTTCCTCAGGTGGTCACAAACCTGATCTTCATCTACAGTGGGAGGAACGTTGTATCCGTGGACCCTGTCTTATGGGCCATCAACTTGAGAGCTGTGAGGAGACAGGTTGCCAGTGAAGACTGAGGCAAAAAAATTGTTGAGAATTTCCAAATAATTTCCAAAGATGGAGATTTCATAGTATTGCTGAACAACCTTTTCCAGTGTGGCATCATTCCAATGGGAAAACATTTGTGTCCTTCTATGCAGGATTTCCCTTGTATCAGCTTTTGACTGTTGCCTTTTCTCTTTTTGCTGTTCCCCACCAAGAAAAGCCTCACCTTATTTTCTCTGTAACTCCCCTTAGGTAGAAAAAGAAGTAAAAAACAACTGACACATCTCCAATCTTTAGATCTTACTAGATGGGCAGGCAGTAGGAGAAAGAGTTATAGTGGCCATGCAAATTAGTCTCCTCTAATTTATGCACCTAAATGTAATCAGTCTCAGCTCTGTTTCAGCTAAAAACCAGGACAAGTGACCATGCCAATTAGTCTCTTCTAATTTATGCATCTAAATGTAATCAGTCTGATCCTGAATTAGTCACCAGAGGCTCATTCTAGAATCAAAAAGGAGAAACTGACATCTCTGGGTGGTCTGTTCTTAAAAGGGATGCCAAGGCTACATCAACTGTTTCATTCTGCTTATTTCTGTCTACTGGTTGTAAAGGTCCAGCCTCAGGCTTCTAACTCC